AAAAAAAAAAAAAAAGTTTTCACTTTCCTACGAATTTATACTAATATTATAAAGCTGAAGAGTTTGTTTTTTTGTTTGTTTGTTTGAACGCGCTAATCTTCAGAACTACAAGTCTGATTTGAATAATTCTTTTTGTGTTAGATAGCGCATTTATCGAGGAAGGCTATAGGCTATAAAACACGCTACGACCAATAGGAGCTGAGCAGAGCGTGTAAAGCCGTTCGGAAGTAGCTAGTTTACTATATGTATAGATAGATGTTTTACGTCTCATCCACATAACTTTTGACGAGGTAGTTAACTCTATATGTTTTTTTTCTTTCTAGTCGTGGCGACCCAGTAAAGGTGAGCCGAGCCATCTCCCGTATTGTGAACTCCAACGACGATGGTGGTGTACTAGTGGGGCGTTGGGATGGAGCGTATGATGATGGAACTGCTCCATCCGAGTGGACTGGCTCCGTGGACATTCTGGCACAGTTCTTGGAGACACAGGAACCTGTGTCTTATGGACAGTGCTGGGTCTTCGCTGGTGTAGTTACTACTGGTGAGTGTTCAGATGCCTTTGGGATATGGTTAATATTTTTACTGAAAATGGGACTCGAGTGACTAGGATGCTTACCTTTACCTGTATCATAGATAAGACAAGGCCAATAACTTCGCTCCTAAAAACCTGGTAAAGGGCGGTCCTGATCATTTAGGTACTATGAGTTGACAGGTGTGGTCGTTTGCCTGCATCCCTTAAAATCATAGTTGCATTAAGAACACTGTTGCTTTCCGTTTAGCCAAAATAAATACCTAGGTAAGTACTCGTAGAATCAATCGTGAATGGTAGCCTTTAACAAAAAAGACACTAATAAGCATTTGTACTGGAAAAGACTAGCTGTTGCCCGCGATTTCGTCCGCGTAGAATATGATTACTGTTTTATTCCATGTTAGCATTTAATCGGGTTAATCCTATCATCTAAATCAGCCTATACTCTGCCTGTAAGTATACCAAATTTGAACAAAATCCGATCGGGATAAAAGTATCCTATCACCTAAGTCAGCCCAAACCCTGCCTGTATACCAGATTTCAACAAATTCCGTTCAGTAGTTTCAGTGTGATTGACGGATAAACATTCAAACAAAGAAACTTTCACATTCTTAATATTAGTATGATTACCACAATTGCACTAAAAGAATGATAGGTGAAGTTGAAACTCAAGTTCAGTAACCAAAAAACAGATAAATTAATAAGTGATAGCTCATTCCGATAGGAAGGTTATCTGACTCCCATTAACTTGATAAATGTTTTAAAAATAACAAACTGTTCCTTGGAACAACTCTCTATCTTCATAATAATCATAAATTTCTTGGGGACTTGACCTCAATTACACTCTTGGAAATACAATTGTAATTGGGAGGGAGTATCAGACTCTTACTAACTAAAAACCACCCCGTTCCTTCTCCTGCGCTTCGAGCCGGAGCCCCGGTTACCCGTTAGGTTCTCCGCGACTCCGAGTCGGCATCAGCCCTGTTGGGCCCCATCCGTGGTGGTCTGATGGCTCTTTGAGGCGCGCGCGGAACGCGACGCGCCATACGCTCGGGTCTAGTTCTGGTCGGACGGTGGGCTCACCGTGGGCGAGCATGGGTGGCTACCCATGCTCGCCGTCCGCAGGCCCGCGCTTACGGTGGTTGTACTGGAATATGATTCCTGTTTTATCCCATGGGAGCTTAGCTAATCGGGATAAAATATATCCTATCACATAAGTCAGCCCATACCCTACCTGTATACACTTTTAACCTAAGTTCAGTAACGAAAAACAGATAAATTAAAAAGTGATAGCTCATTTCGATAAGAAAGTTATCTGACTCCCATTAACTTGGTACTCCCATTAACTCCCATAAATGGTTTAAAAATAACAAACTGGGGTCTTGGGAAATTTACGACAATTATGCGTTTGGGAAATACACCATATTGAGCTTATCTAGTAATTGCATAACGACAACCAAGAGCTTTATTTTGAATTTGATGTTCCCTTGCAGAAGGAAGGAGTTGCTTATCCACTACAATACTCCTTTTTCTTTTCTTTTTATAATACATTGCCCCACACTAGTATTTACTTCTGTGTCACAGGTTCGATTACAAACATATAATTTCACATACACATCACACACACCCAGACGCGAAACAACGATATGTGGATCACACAAAGAGTTACTCCGTGCGGTTATCGAACCCGCTACAAGCAGCCACTGTGCCAACCGTGCAGTCAAATACAGCACAAAGGTCTTAATCAACGGACATATATTAAAAGTCTCATATTCCATCATCTTCTATTCCAGTTTGCCGTGCCCTCGGTATCCCATCTCGAGTAGTCTCCAACTTAGTATCAGCTCACGATGCCAACAGCACCCTGACTGTGGACAAATACTTCTCGGAAACTATGGAGGAGCTGGGTTACGATCCTAGCAACGCTGAGCCAGAACAGACAGACTCCATCTGGAACTACCACGTCTGGAACGATGTCTGGATGTCCAGGCCTGATCTGCCTGCTGGTGAGTAAAACTACATTTATTTCTTAGAAACTTCATTTTCGGTAGTTTAATTATATGGCAGTCCTATTGTAATAAAGGACAGCACTATTGCGAAACGTAGATCCCGACATAATTCGGAACTAGACATAAGTTTGAAACCGAAAATGGGGACATCTCCAGGCACTAATTTCCCATCTCTCCCCAGGTTATGGAGGCTGGCAAGCTATCGATGCTACTCCTCAGGAGACCTCACGAGGAATGTATCAGTGCGGCCCAGCTCCGCTAGAAGCCATTAAGCAAGGAGCCATAGGAATGAACTACGATGTAGAATTCATGCTGGCTTCAGTCAACGCTGACCTGATGAAGTGGAGGATCGATCCTAACTTGGAAACTGGTTTCGCTATGGTCGGCAGCAATACTTACCAGTAAGGGTTTTTGATATTATCTTGATAAATTGTGGTTTGCGCTTAAACTACCTACATACTTCTTACCTACATGTAAATTTTTCTTATTCTGTTCAGCATTGGTCGCATGATCCTCACAAAGAAACCATACGTGTTTGACCCCAACGGTGATGAGGACCGAGAGGACATCATTGACCAATACAAGTTCAGAGAGGGAACTGCCTCCGAGCGACTCGCCCTCATGAACGGAGTTCGGTTCTCTGAGAGAGCCAAGAGGTAAGATTGACCAAAGATATAGCTAACTCCAGATTACTCAATTGACGTCTCATAATAGAAAAGTTCCAGTCATCCTTAAAAGAATATAGGATATTAATGAACAATTTCTTTGACAGATATTACTCGGTAGCCAGCAGTATGAAGAATGACATCAATTTCAAACTATGTGACGTGGACACGGTGCCCATTGGACAGGACTTCAAGGTCATCGTGGAAATTGAGAATACTTCTGATGAGGTAAGAATACAAATACTCCATTTCAAGAAAACCTTCATCAATGTTGTACAAACCTTGCAGTTTTATCATCAACGACCCGTTTTTGCTGGATTATACATCTGCTCTACAAAAAGGGGAACATTTATATCTACATTGTGTTCTTGCAAGACAGTGGTTAATAACATAGCAGTTATATTCTGGTCATTTATACACACATTTTTGATATTACGACAATCGTGATAAAAAGACCATTTTTTTTCTTTTCTAGGGCCGGAACATAAAGGCGTCTCTGACAGCGAACAGCGTTTACTACAACGGAGTGAGAGCTGGAGTCATTAAGAAGGCTGAAGGACATATGTTTATCAGTGCTGGCAAAAGTAAGTGTATCAAAATCTAACTTCATCTGACTAACCGTCCCAGACACCACGCTGCTACGGAGCCGCGGAAGACTTAATGGGTTGCCGGGGCTCCGGCTTAAAGTGCAGGAGAAGGAACGGGGTGGTTTTTAGTCAGTAAGAGTCTGACACTCCCTCTCGCCTTACCCGGGCGGGAGAAGTCATTGGATGATTTCCCCCTCAAAAAAAAGACACCCCGCTGCTAGAATATCTTTATAGCTTTATAGCTTAATAGCTTTTCTTCACGTAAGACGGGACAGATATCGGAGAATTAAAAGGTTCAGACGCTCTCTGATAAACCTGAACCCATTAATTCTGCCTGGTCTCTGTCAAAGTAGCCTCCAAGTTGGCTCTTTCTATACCCGAAGTAAGGTCTTCAGTCAGTCAGTTAGGAAATTCAAAACCGAATCAGTCAAGGTCGTTCGGATTTGCAGTCAAGGAATCTTAAAACATCCCTATGAAATATCAGGCTAATATTTGTTTTTTTGTGCAGAGGACCAGATCATGCTGTCGGTGAAATCAGATGACTATCTGCCAAAGTTAGTGGAATATGAGAACATGAAGATCTCTGCGATGGCTATCGTGATGGAGACCAAGCAATCCTGGGCAGAGGAGGACGACTTCCAGATTATCAAGCCTAATATTAACATTAAGGTGAGTTGGAGGTTGAATGTTAAAGAGTTAGGTACTAAAAAATGTACTACCACTTTTTCGGTTTAGAACACCTAGTTTAGGGGATTCGAGGTCTTTCCATCTTTGGCTATGCCGGCGTGATCAAAACCATTACAAATTATACGCTAAACTATCCTGAGGAATTAGACCAATTGGTAAAACTGCGTTTATCGTGTTAATAGAAACCAACCCGTCATTGCTCTTCTTTTATGACATGTAGATAACATAACATCACGCCTTTTATTCCCGTAGGCAGGTAGGCAGAGGTGCTTTTTACGGCACTTACTGCCGCTGTATAATGTAACACTCACTTTTCACTATTTGTGTTATGAGTCCCATGTAATAAGGGGTGAGCTTATTGCCATATACCGGGCACAATTCTAGGCTCCGTGCTACTACCGAGATTTTCTTTTAAATATCAGTAATACTTTGCCCCACCGGGAATCGGATCTGAGACCCCTTGCGCGGCTCGTCACTCGTCAATGAGGCTGTCACAGTGAAATGTAGATAATGATAATAATTTTTAATCTTATCTTTCAGTTCAACGAAGACTTAATCCTGAACCAGCCGGCAACAGCAGTTCTTTCGTTCACGAATCCCCTGGACCGTGGCCTGACTGGGTGTGAGTTCAGGCTGTCTTCATCAGGAATTGAAGGTCGCACTCTGAAGCTACAGGCTTCTGACGCTGCGGCTAAGGAACCGATCACCGTGGAGATACCTATATTGCCTAAGGTAACTTATTGATTGTAGATTCGATTTTATGCTAGTTAAAATAATCTATATCAATACATAGTATAAAACAAAGTCGCTTTCGCTGTATGTCCGTATGTATGCTTAGATCTTTAAAACTACGCAACGGATTTTGATGCGGTTTTTTTTAATAGATAGAGTGATTCTTAAGGAAGGTTTGTATGTATAATACATACATATTGCACCCGTGCGAAGCCGGGGCGGGTCGCTAGTACTATATAAAAATGAAACCCGTTTCCCGTTGTCACGCCATAACTTGAGATTGGCTGGACCGATTTGGCTGATTTTTTTTTGTTGTTTGTTATTGTCAGGAGAAGGTTCTTATGATAGAAAAAAACCTTAAATCTTATGGGCATAGGAATCTACACCTTGGAATGAGCAACTAGCTTCACTTCTAAATTTTTGTTGTTAACGTTCAAAAGTGGTCCTGGTCTAATTGAAATAAATGATTTTGACTTTGAATTATTTGCCCAAACAGAAACTCGGCAGTATCAACTTTGTGGCGACTTTCAAGTCAGCGGAGCTGAAGGATATCAACGGAGCAGCAACAGCCGAAGTGTACGAAGCATAAAACACCATATTGTGGAGACTTTAAGAAATATTTTACATTGCATTATTTTTTGTACTATTCTAGATTTTTACGAGTATATTTTAGTCATGTTTATTTAAGATATAAATTTTTTTGTCTTCAAAAATACGTAAGAAGTAATAAAATTTAAGCATTTTTTTTAGTTTGTGTGAGTCGTATGTGCCAATGTAATTACTTTTAAGATTATTTTTTTATTATTGTTAGAAAACATATATTAAGAAGGCAGCGCCAAGGATCAGTACATTTAGTTTTAAGAGTAATAAATAATTAAATGGAATCGAAGCCATATCAAAAATATATTTTTTTATATTCGAAATGTGCCATAGTGTGGCTGGCATTTTTATCTTTATTAGCTTTATAATAAATATAATATTTGTACAATAATTTGCAAGTAATTTCAGATATAGATTTTCTTATTATGTATACATATACATTGGGGACATAGTCCCGCAAAATGCATAAATATTGCAAGTTACAATTAATATTTTATTATATAAAAAGTAATAAAAGTTTTATAAGTATATTCTTGGGTGTTAATTGTATCCTGAACTAATATTAAAAATGTCTTTAATAAAAATAGTTTAGTTTTGATTAATAGATTTTCTACTTTATAACAAAATGATAAGCTTGAAAATGTGATAATTTACACGAGCGATTTTTTGTTCTTTTTTTAAAAACGTTGCCTCTAGGATTATCTCCTGTGTCGTGTGTGCGTTTACAAACATACAAGTTCACATACACATGACACCCAGACGGAACAACAATCTGTGGATCACACAAAGAATTGTTCCGTGCGGGAATAAAACACGCGACACGTTGCGCGGCTGCCAGTTTCCCAGCCACCGCGCTAGCTAGTCGATTTTAATATTATCTACATAAAGAGGTAAAAAAAACATGACATTTTAAAACAAAATTTTATTCAATTCCATGCAGCTCCACTTTCTCTTACAAACACAAGTCTGACAATTTGTTCGAAACTATCCACTTACAATTTGAAACAGGTACAGAGTGGGCAAACTTTGCAATTTAAACTTTTGAGTACCGTCATTAGCTGTGGTGTAGGTGTCCTCGCGGTGTTTGAAAGTTTAAGGGTTAAAAAAACCAATATGCCTATTAATATTTCAAAGCTACAACATAGCACATAATTAAATGTACGTAGAATACAATACAATACGTTTCTAGCTTCTAAAACCAATGATAAAATAGGGGACAAAATATCTTGCGAAACGAGTCGCCAGCGACGTTGGGTGAAGCAGCGGGACGTTGTTGGACTGTCAACAGATCTGGCAACATCAACGTCACTGTGGATATAAGTCGTAAGTTGTTGCCTTATATCAATATCAATCGACATCGGCCAGCTTCGCTCGACATGTCGCCGATACACATTTGTTTCCTAATGTATCCTTTGCTTAAACTGTCAAACACCAAGCGGTCACCGGTGTCGTTTGTTTCTCGTCGTTGTTATTTTATTTTGCTAAATATAATTAAAAGTATGAGTGCAAACAACACCTTGATATGAGTAAAACAAATAGATTCCAATATCTACTCAGAATTCATTAAAACCATTTTAAAAGTCAAAGTAACTTAAAAGGCACCAAAAAAGTTGAATTTGTATCATATCGAAATTTAAAATTAAATTAATTCAATAATCTGAAATAATCACCAGAAACACTCACCAAATGCTTATCGTAATAATAAAAATTATCACAAGCATAATTCATTTAGACCACAAAACAAACCACAAATGTTGGTCATTCTGAATTAAAAAATATGAATAAAAAAGTTTGCCCTTCGCTATACCTAGAACAGTCAAATTAGATGCACCCAAAACCATAGAATATGAAACCTTAGCCTACTTGGTAAAACTAATTGGAAAACACAACATTGCCATACACAAAAACAATATATTTTTTTATCACATTGCTAATCGGTTTGGTGATTCTCCTGTGATGTCAGTCTGACAGGAGATTTTTAATTAATTAATTCAGTCTAGCTTATAGTCGACAAGCTTGAAATGAAGATTAGATGTCATTTATATAAAAAAAGTCTAGCTTATATCCAAAATCTCTGACAACAGTTCAATGGGTATACCATTTGTTTTAAGGAGAGAAAATCACCGAATGTCTTCTACCGCCTGGGTGAGGCGGGAGGGAGTGTCAGACTCTTACTGACTAAAAACCACCCCGGGGCCCCGGTAACTCGTTAGGTTCTTTAAGCTTGAAATAGTAATGCTCATAAGCATATATTGTGTATGACTTAGCATCACAGGGAAATCGCCAACTAGGTGCCAGGTATTCGAAATAAAACCTTGAAGAAAATTACAGAATACAAAGATAATTGAGATCATACAAATTGACTGATAAACAGTCGAAGAATGAGGGCGGGCTACCAGCCCGGATCGCTAGGGTAGCGTAAGATTCGTTATCCAATAAAGTATTTGCTAAAATGCAGCCATTGGATATTCAAATTTTGACAGCCACCGTGATTGGACAACCAACAGCGCGATCTACTTAGTAGAAACTCTTTAGCCCTCATTCGTTTTTAATTCATAGATTTTGGAGTATTATTTCTGTAATTTTGTTCTGTGTTTTACGGAATTAGGCACCAAGTGAAATAAATTGGAAGGGTGATTGTAGCAAAAATATTACATAAGGAACATGTTTGAAGGACGGTCAACCAAACCACAGTATTACATGAATAAAGGCATCTATATTCTATTTAAAAAAAAAAAACAATTTGTTTAACAAAACGTTGACAAAATGGTAAAATTACTGACCATACATACATATGTATGTTACAGATACACATTTAATAAAAGACAGTTTCTAGAGTCTCTGATAAGTCTTTGATATTTTAACTAATAGATGATATATTAATATTCAGTTACTGTTTATATCAATTTCAACTTTATAGTTTGGTAATAAAGTCGAGTATAGTTTCATTTGCAGATACTTATTTATTTTCATTTTAAACTTTATCTGGTGGATATTCAGAGACACTGAAACGGACTTTTAACAATTAAAAAGATATTTTTTCACATTAACAGAATCCAAATCATAATTATCATTTCATCCAATCCTACAAATGCGAAAGTAAATAATAAATTAAAATTATATTAATTTTGGCATCTAAATGGACATTTTCGAATGAAAATAATACTTTACTTAGCTGAGATAAATACGCACTTTTTCAATAAATTATTACTTCTTTTTTCACAATAATATTTTTCTTATTTTATTTATTATAAACTTGGAAATATGTATTGCTTTCGTTCTTATTCTATGTACGATATATAAACTCCTTGGTTCACGGCTCTATTGTAAAAATACTCTTTATTTCATTATGGCGAACATTGTGTTGTGACCACAGATAAAAAAAAATTATCCATCAAAATCTTTAACATATTATCAACTTTATTATCTTGACTTGAAGTTGAAAACCAATTAAAGAGTCTGTACAGAGTAGCTTGCTGAGTTCAGTTTGATCATGGTTATTCCATAAAGGGGTAGGCAGAGACATTATATTAAATCTAATATAATATAACATCATACATTTTAATCTTCGAAGGAGTGACCAGAGATTTAGATGTACAATGTAACACCAATCGCCGCTTTGTTGCTATTTGTAAAAATAAATTCACATGTTTCACTTAAAATTGCAGCGTTATTGGCGTATTCTGGACATAATACTGTGTATTTAGTTATAAAATAAGTAGGCTATAATCACAACACATTGCTAACGCCTTTGGAAAATGAAAGAACTAAATTTATCGCCGTCAATTCAAATAATTACTAAGACAAGCAAGCTGAAAACGGCTTTATTTTTAAAATAAACGAATATAGGGATAATGAAAGATAATATAAGCTTGGTAGCTTGAATAAATACAGCTATAGTATTTTATCGACGGCGAAATTGTCAGTCAAATTGCGATCTTATCTACATTCATTTTCACAGTTCATTTCATAGAGGGTCAACAAATAAGAAATGAATTATTAGGGATGACACGACTAAAACTGTTTTTTATGTTCGTCGTAATGAAAAAATATTGAACACTTATTTTTTTCTTTTTTAGGAATCAAAAACTTGAGTTTGAATTTGAATAAAAACTTTGAATATTTCTATCAATTCTCGACGAAATAAAATAATGTGTCTAATATGATACTTCATAATCTAACTGACGGACTTAATAGAATGTTTAAATTTCATATTGTATCGCCATTACTTAATCTAAATAGGTAACATTGTGTTCACTGACAAAAATTTAGTTCTCCATCAAATAACAAAAGTGTCTGATTGTTCATAGTCTTACCTTGTCTATTGCTATCTCAGTCACCCATAGAACTTTGGCAAAGGACAGAACGTACTTCGATTTACGAGACGAGGGACTTTGACAGCTGTCAAAGTATTCTCCGTCCTGTTCTAATTACACGCTACAGACAAAGATAGCAACAGTAAAGTTAAGAGAATGAACAAAAACAAACACCAATATATAGCTATCTGTATCATCATAAATAAACAATTAGGTATCATATGAAAAATTATTCCATTCTCTATTTTTTTTCTTCATAAATTATTTGTGAAAACTTACGCTTTAATATGTAAATCAAATTGTTCAACACTTATGCACTAAGATTGACTTCGTGGTGTGGATATGAAGTCCGAATTAAGTTACTACGTACCACAACAAGAGAAATTGAGCCCTGTTGTTTGAGTTTTTAGTTCGAGATTTGAGTGCACAAATAACGTAGTCCGCCATTTTGGATTTAGAGTGACGTCACTTGGCTAATCATGCATTCATGTTACATATGAATGCAAAACTTCATATCAATCAGTTGAGGTTAATTGATTTAAAATTGAGTTGCAAGATTTGACCCCACACAATAAATATTGCAAGAAAAGAACAGGGATTCATATTCCCTGTGTGTAGTACGTAGTTTTAACTGTATTTATATAACCTTACAATAACGCTAGAACAATTTGCACTTCAATGAGTCTTTAGGACAAATAGCTATGCTATTAAAATGTATAGATTTGCAACTATTTTTAAAATAAATGCATCAAACTGTATTAACAATTCATTATCTCTTTTGTGTACAACCAATCCTTTTATTTGTTGGTTTATATTGTTAGATATTTTATGTAAACAGTGATAATATCTTTGTATTATTTATATTTGTCTATATTATTTATATTAAATATCATGTTTCCCAAAGAAACAGACAGACTCTAGTTACATTATAAACTTCATTGCAATGGCGAATCTGGAACCACGTTGCCCATGAATATGAGTCCCGGTTAGACTCGAAACTAGTAGAGCATTCCTCTATTACTTCACTATTTCGAAAAAAACATCTAACAATACAAACCAACGCTCATATTTATTAATATACATTCGTAATGAACACGTAAACTACATCTAGCGAGTGTCACCTACACATAATATTAGCGCAGCCATATTGGATTCTTCTGGAACATTCTCCACACCACTTGGGAAGAAGTTAGTGTACTTTGGACTTACCTGTAACTATTTTCGCGTATTCTTCGTAGAATCGCGGGAACAATTGGATAGCGAAGTAGACTATAGTTAGGTACGCCACTATTGCTAATGTAAGTATTAGATCGAAGACTGCTGGTTTTACACTGTGAAAAAATATTTTTTTTTAAATGATTTTGAACTTTGGTAAGGTGGTTTTAAAGTTGAGTATTGATTGGATTTGTTTTCTTGTTGGGGGTTTAAAAACGGGGATGTGGGCAAGAAAATTGTACTTTTTTTCATATTACTATATTTTATGGCAATAACGAGGCAAATATACGGCATTGACACTAATATATTATATCAAAACGTCAAGCTTATATTAGTTATCAATTGCCTCGGTCGACTAGCGCTTAAAAGCCAATAGCTTAGAGTTATAGCTGTAATATTGAGTAAATCTCTATTTGCTTCCTAGCTGCCCAGTCCCCAAGCTACCGCTTGGGGACTCACTTGACTGGTCACCGGTTACCACCGGTGGCCAGTCTCCACTTACTCCATTCAAATTCAAAATTCTTTATTATCTTAAGAATAGGGTAGACGACTAATTTTTATTTTAATGTCCGTCTGGTAGATTATTTAAAAACATTAGACACGTATTTTTTATTTTCTTACGGAAACGAATAGTTTCGAAGATATATTGATTTGAAATGTCGCGTGACGTCACTTCTCAGTACATTTTATACTAAGAAATGACGTTTTAGCTCCCACTCCTAAACTTTGATTCGTTTTATCTAAGTATTGTTTTATTATACAACAAAATAAAAAAATACGTGTCTAATATTTTTTTATTACCTAAGTTACGGACTAATTATATTTTTAATTTTCATACCCTGTCATCATCCCCATTACGCTATCTGTCTAACATTGAGACAGTCCCAGTAAGTTATTATACAATACTTGTGTTACTCCATTATAAACCATATTTCCAATGTTCAGAGACTACTTTTGTATGAACAAATATGGATTTCTCATAAACGGGGATTAAGAAGCTGTTTTCACGACTTATAGTAATTAGATCAAGTAGCTATAGATAATGAAGCTCACCTATACACATAGAGCGATGCCCTAGTAGGTCCGTACAGCGTGTACTCTGGTTCCCGCTTGTCCACCGTATGAGTGCTGACTGTCACCTCCATGTAGCGAGACAGGGCTCGCTCTAGGGCGCCGGTCACTCCTACGGAGAAAGGGAATAACGTTACATTCTTGGCTCGACCGGAGTGATACCACGGCCTCACAGAAAACCGACGTGAAGCAACGCTTGCGTTGTGTTTCGTCGTGTGAGTGAGATTACCGGAGGCACAATCCCCCTCCCCTCTTAACCAATCTCTCCAATCTCTGAATCCCCAACAATCCTCAAAAGGCCGGTAACGCACTTGTAACGCCTCTACCACGTGTCTATGGGCGACACCAATTGCTTACCATCAGGTGATCCGTCTGCTCGTTTCTAATAAAAAAAAATGTTTTTTTTGGCCGTTTGAGCGCCACAGTCGGCTATAGACGTTAATACTAGACTGGGTAATAGGGTACAATAGGGGCTAACGTTTTGTTGCTCAGCAAATGGCGCAAATGTAAGATATAGTTTTTTTCGTCCAATCATAGCAACTGTCAAATATTGAACGTCCAATGGTGACACTAGCTAACTACTTATTGGGCAAAGAATGAGACGTTCACACTACCACTATCTGGTGAACAAAAATTCGATGAGCTCCATTCCAGACTCCATGTATTACTGAGAAATATTCGATGAAAATCTTATTGAACTATCTGCGTGAATAAATAGTATATTTCAATCAAGTTTTATATTAATTTCTCCAACGTATGGTGACTGAGGTCAAGATCTAATGCTTGGTAATCGCTCTGGATAATAAGGCAGTCATGATAGGTTTCATCAAAAAATGAAATAATATTAGTACCTGTATTAGGAGGTGTTGTGGTGACAATCTGAGGTGCTCTCGGTTGTGAGGATAAGTAAGTGTACCAATGTCTAATTGCCGCCTCGTCCACTCCCTTAAACAATAGAAGTCACAAATTAGATTTATAATAATAATAATAATAAGCCCGCAGGGCACCTTGAGGCGAGGTGACGGGCATTAGCGATCCCGCGGGCTACCATCATCCCGAGTACTTACATTGTTTCGGCAGGTGCCATAGTCATCCATAGTTCCCAATTTTCCAGTCCACAGCAACCCATACATAGCCCTACCCTTTTTTTTCCATTATCCACAATAGTTCTACATTAACCGGGGACTGTCCTTGGGTGCATTTCCATAGTGCATACAGGGATAGTCGCCGGTTTGTGTGTCCATTACATTTATATTAAAGTTGTCTAAAGGGCCTCTGCGCAGTTGGCTTCGGCCCCTCGTACGCCTCCCAAATGACCGGGACCCTGTGGTCCCGTGAATGGTAAAGACATACATAATAATAATAATAATAATTCTTTATTCATATACCAACATCTTTAGTTCATCATTTATATAGATTTATACTGTATTACGGGTAGTTCAGAACGGTAACTGGCAGTAAGAATAGATAATGTTGAACCTACGCTTAAAGGTAATTCTTGCAAAACTTTTCCAACCAATATTAGGGTGATTTTTGATATCAAATAATATCAATTCTAAGACTTATAGCATAAGAATCAAATTTATTCATTCTTTATATTTATTTTAAACATATATAAAAATGTGGAATTAAATAAATATTGTAGGTATAGAACTTAATAAATTAAAACTAATGGATAAAATTCGTTCGCATCGACGTCAATAGGGAAAGTACCCTGAAGAAGAATGCTTAACCAGGCGTTTTGAAAATAATAAGAATGGTTTCTGCAAATAACATTTTTAACAACTGAAGGAAAAGAAAATCTTTGAAGTTGTCTGTTGGCGGTCTGAATATTGAGACTGAGTTTGTGATTGTGGAATACTCCTTTATTTATTTATTTCATGGTGAATCAACAGGTATATTACACAAATTTAGCAGAAAAATATTTATTTATTTATTTAAACTGTCAAACATCAAGCGGACACCGGTGACCGCAACCTATTGTTCTATAATTGTGTCTATAATGACGGTACTCAACGAGTTAATTCTCATAATAAAATAATAACATTGAGCCAATTACATTTTTTAAGGGGGAAAATCATCGAATGAATTCTCCAGCCTGGGTGAGGCGGGAGGGAGTGTCTCTTGCTGACTAAAAACCACCCCGTTCCTTCTCCTGCATGTTGAGCCGGAGCCCCGGTTACCCGTTAGGTTCTCCGCGACTCCGTATCGGCATCCGCCCTGTTGGGCCCCATCTGTAGTGGTCTGATGGCTCTTTGAGGCGCGCGCGGAACGCTCGGCGCCGTACGCTCGGGTCTGTTTCTGGTCGGACGGGGAGCCACCCATGCTCGCCGTCCGCAGACCCGCGCTTACGGCCTAATGAAGACTAGGACAATATAAGTGTTAACTTACCAAAGCATCATTATACAGCTCAGCGTCGTCCTGGTTGAGTTCGTCAGTGAGATTGTATATGTGCGAGGCGAGTGCGCGGGCCGTGAGCGCGATGTTGTCGGCGAGGTTCTTGATGGCACTCTCCGACGGACTGTCTAGTAGCGTGCTGCGGGCTGGGTCTTTGTGGGTCTGTGGGGGAATTAGAACTTAATTATATAAAATAAAAAATAAAGGCGTTATGTTATGTTAATATAAAATAGACTTTTCATATTCATGTGGGCAGGTGACAAATCATCCAATGACTTTTCCCACCTGGGTGAGGCGGAAGGGAGTGTCAGACTCTTACTGACTAAAAATCAAACCGTTCTACAGGGGCTTCGGCTCGAAGTGCAGGGCTACCCCTGCACTTCGAACCCTGCAGGTGACGTTTAATCCCACTTTATAAACATCTATATGATATTTTAAAATGTGATCTTAAAATTACAGATAGAAATTATAACAATTTGGGCGTCTGCCACTGCTCAATCCAACATCAGCGCCGCAAGCCGCAACTGACGTACACAGGCTTCTATAATTTTCTGAATAATTTTACAAGTTTTACGCCCATATACTGAAAGGTTACTCAATTTTAAGTCGTGCTTATTCTTTACTACCTTTTACCCGCGGCTTCGCTCACGTCACAAAAGGATAAAAAGTAGCCTATGTGACATATACAAATACATACAGCGCCATCTATATCAATACTTTTGTTTTACCTCGGGAATATTAATTTTTCCGGGATAAAAAGTACCCTATAATTTAATACGGACTTCTAACTTTACGTCTGCAAAAATTCAAAGCAAACGGTTTAGTAGTTACGGCGTGAAAGCGGAACAAACAAACAAACAAACAAACAAACTCACTTTCCGATTTATAATATTAGTAAGGACTAGCTGTGCCCGCGACTTCGTTCGCGTAGAATAGTGACTATGAGCAGCGTTTTTTTTTTTAAATATATACTTATTTTTATTTTAGATTTGGATCATAATCACAGTCATTTTGGGTAGCTAAAAAACCTACTTTACTGTAATGCTTCTCTATATACAATATTAGACGTATGGCCATCGGGGGTGAAAGCATACAGGCTGCTGGGATTGCTAACACGGGACAGAGCCACATACAATTGACCGTGCGAAAAACAGCTGATACTTAGATCTATACCCACAACTTTTAGAGTCTGACCTTGAGCTTTATTAATTGTCATGGCGAAACATAGGCTCACTGGAAACTGAATTCGTTTAAAATTAAACGGAAAATTTTTTGGAATGAGAGGAATCTGAGGAATAAAACCACTATCACCTTTTCCGCACCCTGTTAAATATATATATATTTATAAGCCATTTCTGAGATTAGCGTGAACAGACAAACAGACAAACAGACAAAAAAAAAGTTAGTTACATTTTTGGGTTCGA